CCAAGGTACATTTATTAGACTTTAATTGAAGTTTCAGCAGTCACTGTGACATTTTGATCCCAGATGTGGAACTCAAATGTTTTTATTTTTTATTTTTCTGGTGTCATTCAAATACAACATACCTTCATGGAATGAAGTCATGTATGACATGCAATAATAGAGATGATTTCCCAGGAAGTAGGATCTACAGAAGAATTTTAAGTCACTGTCAACCACAAGATGGTCAAGCAGGACAGAAGTGCTGGCTTGTGCAGAGCAGAACTAATCCATCATTTTCATTAAGATGTAAGAGAGTTTGCTGAAACAATTCACCTTGCCAATGCAAAAATAAAACTAAAATGAAGGGACACTATAGCCACAAGAACAACTACAGCTTAATGTAGTTGGTCTGGTGAATATAATAGCTCCCTTCAGGCTTTTTTCATGCAGTGTTTACATTGCCTCTAGGGACACCTCCAAGTGGCCACTCCTCAGATGCCGAAAAAGTAGCACTGCTGTTCAGAGTCCCCACGTTCTGCATGGAGACGCTGAATTTTCCTCATAGAGATGCATTGATTAAATGCATATCTATGAGGAGGTCCTGATTGTCCAAAATGGCATTTGGCTTGGCAAAAAAAAAAATGCTTTGGATTGGCAAAAAAATCTGCCATTTTGATGATGTCACAAAGGGGGCAGAACCAGCACCCGCAGACCCATGTGGTACTGGAAATAAGGTGAGTTTTAAACTTTTATTGGTGGGCTAAGGGGGGGCAAGCCACATTAATGGTGGGTTAAACACTATAGGGTGAGGAATACATGTTTGTGTTCCTGACCCTATAGTGTTCCTTTAAATCAAGTTTGTCTTTGTCATTCACGGGATGCACCCTTTTCTCCAGATAGTTTTTAAATTACAACAATTTAGTACTATATTAGAAGAACCTTCAAGTTCTAGATCTAATTATGAAGAGTAAATCAACCATTCCCCCTGATGCATTTGATTCCCAATATAATTTTGATACAACAGAAGAGCAGAAAAGTAAATGCTAATTTTTTATTTGAAGACTATGTTTACAGCATTGACCAGCGATATGGCCTGGAGACCTGTAAATACATAACTGTGATGGGAAAGATTCTGATTTAGTCATTGGAGGGAATTACATGAAAAAAAGTGTCCTTGGATGAATTAGAAGCTAAAATGGATTGATTAAAGAGCAACTAAAGAAATCATAAGGCAAGAACAAACTCATCTAAATAAAGTTGTTATGGTGCCAAGAGGCCCCTGGGCACATTCTTGCCTTCAGAGGTTAAACAATTTTCAAACTGTTTAACCCCAAAGTTGCCTCTAGCACAGATCTCACCTCTCCCCCTGGCATTTGGCTACTAAAATTTTGAGGGGGGAAGAGAGGTTAGCTGAGATTGGTGCTGGAGGCAACTTCTGAAAATGGTTAAACCCCTAAAGGTAAGAATATGCCCATTGGTCAACTTAATTTAGGTGAAGCTGGTCTGGTGCCTGGAGTGTTCCTTTAAGTGTTGTAATGGTACTGATACAAAAGGTTGCACTATAAATATTACCAGAGAGTAGCTTTATTGACTTAAAGAATATAATCAGTCTTACTCTAAGCCATTTTCAAACCTGTTCAGTGCTTTACAATTTTATTTGTTACTATATGTCCATGTGTAAGAGTTTTGTTAAAAATATCATATGTAAAAAACAAGCTGCCTAAAGAACATGATGACAAACTGACATTTGAACACACTGTATTAAATAGAAACCTACATCTAGAACATACATCTACCCATTATCTCCTATACCTATTGCTTGTGATAATTTAATTACCTCACTCCTATTAGAAGAAACAATCTCCTAAGAAAAAGTTAGGGAGAAATGTGATTGGCTGCATTATAAATATATAAAAAAAAAAAAAAAAGTTATCTGAAAGTACAGTTAAGTTTACTTTCTAATTTGAAGAATATTAGAATTATTTTTATAGCTATGGCTAAAAACTTCAGTGCAAAAACAAGTGGTGAAAATTAGCTTCTCTGCCATGTCCCAATAGTGATATCAAATATTTTAGGTTAGGACCATTAACTGGATATTCTACCTAAAGGTACAGGATATGTTCTCATTAAAACACATGGAAAAGTTTAAGAGAATGACAGGTAGTGTATAAATCCTCATGCTCTAGTCTAGGACAACCCTAGACTGATCTGTGTGAATCATTTCAAGATTAAATTAATTCAAGTAAGTAGAGAAAAGTGCTATATCAAAAATAATAAGCTAACATTTGCAGTTATTGTAGCAATATTCCAGTTTTATTATTGCTGTTATAATGGAATGTAGCCATTTCTTTAGCAATTATTCTCTTATGCATAATCTCTTTGAATAAGTTAGTTAAATGTGGGTCAAATTCATCTGCAAAAGTGATATAATTAGTTGAATAGCCATTTGGGCCTGGAGCCTTATGTTTTTAGCATTTTGATACCAGCTAACACTGTATGTTATGTGTTTGTTTCTTATTTTTAGATAAGAAAGGGGATATCATTTAGAAATGTATATCTGTCATCTACTTGTGCTTGGTATAAATGTCTATTCTTTGCTAATTTTATATACCAGAAATAATACGCTCTCCTCCTTTCTTTGTTATTGTGGTTCTACCGTGTTGCATATTAATTAGAATTTTGCTTTCATTGGAATACACAAATGTCCTCTAAAGAGCTGCAACTGAAATCAAATCTCCTGTGGCCAACATTTTTTTCCAAATGGTTTTTATAGAAAAGAGAGATATGATACAAAGCCAAAAGTACATCAGCCATATAACAGATGATGAAACACACGTTTTAGAGATAATAGAATATTGTAAAGTTGTTATCTAACAATAAAAATGAAATAGTTATGATGAAACAAATAATTGTAAAATATTAATAACAACGCTTGTGTTGTGTTCTAACTTTTCTCATTTTGTTAGTGTTCTTGATGAATTTATTAATGGGTGTAAATATGTATGTCATTACGCAAATTAGCAAACTACAGAAAAAAGTAAAGGAGATAAAGGTAGAAAGAAAAAAGGGGATGGAGGAAGTAGGGGGAGGTGTTAAGGTAACTGGGCTTGGAAAGAAAATATCTTTCAGGTCAATTCCCTAGATTTATATTGGATCCAGATATGTTGGGTTTTATTGTGCGTGTCTAATTTAGCAGACCATTTTTTGGTTTCATGGATGAAATTCACTTTTCTCATAAACATATCAATAGTTGGGGTTTCATCCTTCCATCTTCTTGCTATGCACACTCTTCCAGCAGTGCAGATGTGTACAGTAGAGTGGTTACCATTCGAAAGAGCTAAATTTGAGTCAGGAGACACAAGTATATCCAGTATGTCACTATAATATATTATCCAAAAGAATTGACACCAGAAGGCCCTTGTTTTTCCGCATGTCAACCACATATGATATAGTGATGCATGTTTTCCGAAATCTCTTGAACGCACCTGGGATCTTTCTTTGAATATATGTGAAAGGCTAACTGAATCTAAGTGCCATCTGGAGAAACACTTGTATTCAATTTCCTTGATCACATAAATGGAGAGAAATAGCATTTCGAAATATCTCATAGAAGTTTGTAGTGAAGCATGCTGGTACCTGGTATGGAAACCCTTGTATAGTAGACCAGTCTAGGATAAGCAATCAAAGCAATGGTTCAAGCAAGTTACACTTAATAAAACTGTTTAAAGCCGGCTCTCAAGTATAAGTGATAAATTCAACCCACAAAGGGTGCAGAGTTTGTGGTGTGTAATAAGTACTGATGGTAGTATCCACAATGGAATAGGCTGGAAAGTAAGTAAAGCAATTAAGTACTGTATAACACAGTTGTGTGACAGAAGAGCAAATTATATTAAACTGGTATAGTAACATGCAATTTTGAGCAATTGGGGGGTGTTGTATGGCAAGAAGTATTGTCAGAGTGTACAGGCAAAAAGTAATTGTAGTTTGGTGTTTATTTGTGAAATAAGTACTATCCACACAGCTATTACTTATATTAGAAGTGCTTTAATATTAACAATGGTCAAAAAAAAAAAAAAAAGCAAGTAACTTAAGTAAGGGAAAAGCAAATTAATTAGTAAGCCATCATACTTCGAAAAATGTGCAGGTATATTAATCCTGCTAAGGCAATTATGTTACATTTGAAATATTCTGGTCACCTAATATGTTTTAACCAGATGTAGTGGGAGCCTTAAATGTATACTATAATTGTAGATTTGTATATCAGCAAGCGACTAGGCATATACATTGGCATAGATGAGGCAATTATTAAATTAACAGAGTGTAAGCAAATGTCTTAAATAATCATACATGTCTCATACTTAGCAGCAAGACAAATACAAAATCTAAGTAAAGTGTAAATTATTAAGTAACATATTCCAACAGTGTTAGCAATGTGATACTTACAGTTACAAATATAAGCATAATAGTGTACGGTGTATCAATGCGACCAGAATTAGATTAAGAAACGTTTCAACAGAGAAAAATGTACCTAAACCTTTTCAATAGCATCAGTAATATGCAATAGTTACAGTAAAGCAGAGGAGTTAAAAGGTGGTATGTGACACTTTAGTTAAGTTTCCTGGATTTTGGCTTGTGTCTGGTTGACCTTTTGGTGAGCGCTCTCCTCATGTTATCCACCTTGTCTGTGTTCCAAGACTATAGGTACCTTCTCCCGGATTGGTAATAGAGTCACCAGATATTGAGTGTGGCGGAACCGCTGCCTGTCTGTGAATTGCCCTCAGTCATATTGTGTTTCCCCATCCATTCGTGCATTGCGCCTGCTCCCCATTCAGGAGTGCTCTCACGAAGGGAATTCATTCACCTCCTGATACCTCATTTAGAATGTTAGGTTAGAACATTCACACCTCGCAACATAGGTGTCAAACCACAAAGGGAAACAATTAATGAGTGCTCCCTCCTCATTCGTACAGACGAACACCAGCCAGGGGGAGCTTTCGTGAATTCTTTCCCAGCTTGTTCGTCTCCAGAACAAGGACCTCCCCGGTGCCCCATTGGAACGTTTACACCAATTAATCAGAACGTTCTCACTTGCAACATAGGTGTGAAACTGCAAGGGAAGTAATTAATGAGTGCTCCCCTATGTGGCAGCCATTTCATATAGACGAATGCCGTCCAGGCATTCATATCCCAAAAGGAGATGCTTCCCTTGCAGGGTTTCACCCAGAGATCTCACGAGTAGAGCCTGGACGAGGAAGGTACCGCTGTGAGGGTCCCTGGGATTGGTATGAGAACTTCTGGGGCACTGGAGTGTTTGTCGGAATTGGCGGTGCCTGCAGGGACAAAGAGACCAGCTCTTTTCCCATGGGCAGGCTTTTTTGTGCCCTGGAGACAAAGGGACTCCGCGTCTGGACTCCCAGGCACAGAGGCACCTGGGAAGAAGATTCCCTGGTGGCTAGTATGGGAAACCCTATGTTTTAGTGGGGGGCCATGGGGACAAAGGGAACAAAGTCCCTTCCAGTGCTAGGGTCCCAGGGAGGGGGAGGATCTTGGGATGTGACCTTGTATGTTTGTGTGGGAAACCTCTTGCATGGGGTTATGCGTAAAAGCTGTATGTGGCCAATAAAGGGGTTGTTGTACCTCCAGGACCATGTGTCATCCAGTTATGGGGGGAATGGGTCTCTTAATATCCTAAATTGTTCTTGATTGGCTGAAGGGAGGGAATTAGCGGAGGTAACCAGTCGGGTTACCCAGGGTCTGCTACATTGAGTGCAGTGGACACTTGTAATTTGCCATTCCTGAAAACCATCACAGGGACACTATCTTTGACTCAGGAGCCTCTTGTATGTCATTAAAGTTCAACTTACAGAGCAGGAGATAAACACATTTAAAGTAAGTTTTATCTGATTGAAAATGAAACCAATCTGTTTGCATGCAGGCTGTATCAATCACAGCCAGGGGAGGTGTGGCTAAGGCTGCATACACTTAAACAAAACTGAACCCGCAGGCCATAACAAGCACCCTTTCTGGGTTAAAGGCAATCTTACCAACATTATTTAGTTTCCCTACAAAGGTAGATTTGGCAACAAAGTAATCCAGGCAATGTTTTGTAGGTAATCCAAAACTGGCAACATAATTTCTCACAGCAAACAGGAGGATAGTTTGTGTATCCATTATCACAGAGAGATAAGAGAAGAAGCTCGCAAATCTCCAGAATCCCAGTAGGTATCCTTCTTGTTTCCTCTTGGGGTATTTGGCTTGTGTAGAGAAGGAAGGGACTCTAGATATGTACAGAGGGTATTTGAGAAGTACAGGGCTAGAACCCAGTGTAACTTCCAGACAGACAAGCAGGTACTGGCCAACCAAACTAACACAGTGGTGATAAACAAGGAACTCAAAGCTGCAGTGGTGGTTGATGTGGCAATATCCAGAAGCAGAAGAAGAACATATAAAGGCTGGCAAATACCAACAGCTGAAAGAAAAGTTAGAAAGGATGTTGAAAGTGAAGGCAGTAGTAATTTAAGTTGTGAGAGGGTATGATATGTTCTGAGGAGTGATTGGCAAGCACAGTTATTGCTTGAGGTGGCCGCAGACCAGTTGTGTGTCCCGCTTACTCAAGGTATATAAATGTATATAGCATATTGGGGATTTGTAGTCCACCTCTTATTCCCACCATGGTTATAGGAGCCCTATAAGTAAATGGCTCTGACAATTTGGTGAGTGTTGGAATATATATCTGCTTTGATAAAGTGACTCTCCAGTTGGGTGTGTAGAATGATGACGGCTGTAAGCCTTGATGCACTGCAAAAGCCCAATGTTATTAGCAACCTGTCTGGGCCCCAACTTGGTAGGATATCATATTCTTGGTGGCGTTAAGATAAAAAAAACAGACCTTTAGGATCCAGGAAAACAGAATAATACTTAAAGGACCTATATACAACTGCCAAGGGTAATGTTACAAAGAGGCCCATACATCATCAGTAAGGTAGGCTGTGGCTCATTTGGAGCATTACAATGAAGCCTATTCTGGCAACTTCTTTAGTGGTGAGGCACATGATGGTAGAATATAAATCAGTGACAAGTTATCTCAAAGTTATTAAACAATCATAAACTATTATATAAAAATTACAGTATAAGGTAACCAAACTGGTCTACAAAATGAAACAAAGATACATGTAATATGCCTAGCTATAATCACATTATTGTTTACATAACAATCAGTCTTATATGCTTTTTTGTTTTGTCCAATTTTTTTTCTGTTATATTCTTTTCACATATCTATTTTTTTTTTTGTGAAGGGTAGTTAAGACAAGAGAATAACCAGTATTAAATGCAATGAAATATCCCTTCAAGGCCTTAATGACCTAGTCATTACAAAGACAGGCGGTGTTGAAAAGGGTCCACTATTTCCTTATCTCGAGTGCATAAGTAATAGTGAAGACGTTGCAGATAGAAAAAGATTATTGCCTAAGTGGTCAAATTGTACCAAATAAATCCTTAAGGTGAAAAGTTCTTGGTAGAATTAGGAGAACTCTGATGGTGTAATATTGTTTTGAAAGTGGTGTATAAAAAAACAAATGGAAATACATTCATGTACAACAGTGTGTGGAAATGTAATGCCTGTCAGAGATACGTAGTCGAAAATCATGCAGGGCCTGCTATGTAGGTGGGCATAAACACAATCCTAGTTTGCTTAGTGCATTTTAGCACTAAACAATAAAATACGCAGATGAAACAAGATATGTCAATAGTGTAGTAAATTGTGTGATTACCTGGCTTTGGCGCTATGCCTTCTGTGAAGATTTCCCAGTGTACCCAAAAGCAGAACACCAAGGAACAAAGTTGAGACAATGGGATAGGACTCCTACTTAGGGACCGAAATCGGGACTGTTGAGAGGTTGTTTTTTTAGGATTCTCTACAAATGTAACCTTGTCTAAATGATGCTGTCAGAAATATAATCAAAATAATATACACAGTGCAACACAAATTATGTCAACTTGAGGCCTTATTGTAAGTGAACTGAAATGCGTAATTATTACCTGGTTTAAAATGACTCCAATATGCTGGATTCTTACTTATGGCTATATAAAATGAATTATTTATGATTACTGCATCATTCCTCCCCATAGTTAATGCATTGTAATTATTTAATTCAGATGTAGCTCATGTCATTGTGCTTGTGAGAGTTTCTGTAATTACATGGCTGCATTCCAAAATGTGCAGTAATGATGACAACATTTGCAGGCTCAAATTGTTTTTAAATAAATAAACATTTAGCTCTCCGAATAGATGCGGAATGAAAGCATTTGTACACATAAACATAATTCTGCAGGGTGGCTCTCAGGCCACAGAGGAGGACACACACATGCCTGCCTCAGGAAATGTATTCTGTGCTTATTAAGTTGTCTTTAGACAATACTTTCCAAAATAGAAATTGCCAGTATGCACCTTTAAAGGTGTGATACAAAAGGGAGAAAAAATAACATTATAGATGTCATTTTGTTCTCAGTAATAATGTGTTTGTGACCAAGATGCATAATTTGTTCTCCTTTCAAGTAACAGCTCCACCAGAGCACCTCTCTGAATCCAATAAGGGATCATTTATTAATGTTCTAGATACTTTTCTATTCTCTCGCATCATTTTTTTTAATATAGTTTTTAATATTTTTTTTTAGACTTCCATAGTTTTTTTCAACTATGTTTTTTATATTAAAAAAAATATTATTTTTAAACAGAGACGTGACACAAGTTGAGGGCTGTTTCTCCTTTAGAGAGTGGCTCCTCCAACTTAATTGGTCTGTAGTCCCTCTACAGATAAACTGAATTCAGCTGTATTTGCCGCCCTAGGCAAACACATTTTTTGCCACCCCCCATATGACCTGTCCACAATGTGACATCACAATGACCCACCAATACGATCTGCCCATCTTGACATCACATATGTCCCACCCATTTTTTTTACATTAATCAAAAGTGTTATATGTTGCAAATAAACCTATTTAGAATAGTAGATAATAACTTGACATTGCTAAAGAAACAAGCTACAGTGGTACTGGTGCCTATGGTCTCCCTTTAAGGTCAAAATAGCCAAACTTGCAACTGGTTGAATTGGGGTGTTTTCCCTGTTTGGATATTGTGAAATAACACTAACACACACATACACACACACACACCATTGCCTAGAGCAACTCTGAATGCCAAACTATCTCTTACCTGCTGCCAGGTTATGCCACCTCATTTCCTTCCTGGCAGCCTGTACCACATCATCTTTTGACTGATGCTGCTTGCCAGTGCCACTTCATCTCTTACCTGTGGCAATGGGCCTATGGGGGACCCTTCAGCAGAATATGACTGTGGCGAAAGTAACCTCGCCACTTGTACATGGATGGGGCCTGCACTGATTTCCCTGGAACTGTTTTGGGCATAAGACCATGTGTACAGTCGGTCAAAACTATGACTTCCAGGAAATTCCTGAACCCCAGAACTGATCTGGGTGATTTTTGGATATGTTGTTCACCCAGATCGGGGTTATCAGGAGATGTAACGTTTATGGGATTTTATGTATTTTAAGGTACTTTTTGGGGTTTCATAAAATTGTATGTTTTTCTGTGCTTTGAGATAATTGGGTTAGATTAGTACAGTTCCTGTTTCAATTATCTCCTAAGCACAGAGAAGGGATTCTATTGTTTGTGTATGGGAATGTCTCACTGTATGACTCTGTTTTTATTGGTTTATTCACTTTGCGTCCCTGTGCCCAACAAGGTCCTCCTGGGTGTCACCCTTGTTGGGAAACTTGCATAAAAGGCCAGTGTGCCTCCATTAAGATTCTGTTCCTGCTTACCCTCAACATAGAGTCTCATCTCATGTGTGAGGGAAACGGCTGTATCTATCCTGGGGATTGCTATATCACTATACTCCCTAGGAATTATAATCACTAGCTCTTATCAGAGCTGTTCCTCCTATGCTCTCTGGGAGTAGGAGAGGTCTGCCCACTGGAAGCTGGATCCTGGGTGAAGTGAACGACGGCGAGACCCCGGCGCAGCTCCATTGCTGAAAGTGGGGTCTGCAGTGCTTATGGTGTCTGGTGGAGTGCTGGAATTCCTTGAAGCACTAGGAGCATCGACTGGCAGAGGCACTCGGTCGGAGTGCCAGGCGGTCCATCACAATTACCCAGAGACAAAGAGGCACACAGTGGGGTGGGGGGAAGACACAGTGGGGCTGGGGAAAAGGAGACACACAAATCAGTTGGGGGAGAAAGAGACACAAAGGG